CTCTATTCATGTCGAAAAGCCTCTTTCATCTTAGCTTGGTTTGTGTGTGGTTTGTTGGAAATATTGTATATCATAAAGATCAAGATTAATTAGGCTAATTTATTTTAAATAAATTGCTCCCTATTTGCTCCCCCCATTGCTCCCTACTCCCTGACCATGGGAAATCCGTTGAAATTTACTTTACTTCACTTCATTTGATTTCCATTGTTTTTACTGTGCACAGAATATGAAGAATATCAAAAGCGTACTAGCACAAAACAAACTCTAAAATATTATCAACAAAATCCCATAAAATTAGAATTGTATATCACACACCCCTAAATTGTATTTCCTTTTCATATGGTGCTTTATTTGCTGTGGTATTTGTAAAAAGAAAGTAAAAAACATTACTTGGTTGCAGTTTGGGTGGAAATGGAAGTTTAGCTGCTTCTGCTGTTAAAACATAATTTTTTTTTTTCATTAGATGAAATTTTACATCAGCAATTCAATATTCTCTTATCCTATATTACTTTGAAGCACATATTTCCAGTTCAAACATTATTAGTCTTTATTGCTATTAGGATTGTAGGATGTGTAAATGATTTGTATTTAGATGTTCATATTTCTTATATGGGGTTTTTGAAGGTAAAATTGAAAAAAGAAAAATATTTTTAACTAGTCAAAAGTAATTTGACTATAGATAATACTATTAAAATGTTAATAAGCCCTGTAAAATCTGACATATGAAATGATAGTCAGGAAAATCTAATTATTATAAATGAAACTTGATTCAATCAGTGAAAAAAAAGTTTTTGTTGTGTATTTCACACATCAGGCTTTTATGGCTCATAGTATTCGCAAAAAGTATTCCCAAAGCTTCATAAAATTACGATTGAACCACTGCTGTCACATGGACTAGTTTAACAATATCCTTACTACGTTTCTGTGCCTTGACCGTAGTAGGACCCTTGCTGTCTATGCAGAGTCAGAAAGCTCTCAGATTTAATCAAAAATATCTTAATTTGTGTTCCGAATATGAACGAAGGTCTTACAGGTTTGGAACGACATGAGGGTAAGTAATTAATGACAGAATTTTCATTTTTTTGGGTGAGCCATCCCTTTAAAATGAACTTCCAAATCTACTACTGTATTCTAAACTACATTCTTCAAACGATTCTATTTACAATACTGTTTATTAAAATCTTTTATATTTTTTGATAACTTGTGATTTATTGAATGGGGATTGTAAAAAAAATTTAAATTATCATTTGATCAGCCTAAATTTAAGCACTTTGTATGATGATATTTGCCTAGTAGGTGAGTATTGAAACAATATTATACCTTTGTCTGGCCCTTTTCTTACAGTTGTTGCCTTGAGGCAAGGAAAGGGTTCATCTGAATGGTAAGCACAATATGAATTACTTTAATACTGGAGCTGAATGTACTAATATGAAATTTGCAGATGTACCTTTAAGCTTTCTCTTTAAGCTAGGCATACTGGTGGCTCTTCCCCACTCATCTAAAACAATAAAAATAAAAATGAATAAGGAATACTTTATTCACTTATTGAAACG